AGAACTGCACCATCAGCTCCTGGGACAGGTTGAACTTCCTCAGCTGACGCCGGAAGTACATCCTCTGCTGGGCTCTCTTGATGATGGATCCGATGTTGCTGTCCCACTTCAGGTCCCTGGTGATTGTTGTGCCCAGGAACTTGCAGGACTCCACTGCCATCACAGTTCTGTCCAGGATGGTGAGTGCTGACAGGGCTGGAGGGCTCCTCCTGAAGTCCACTGATATCTCCACTGTTTTTGCTGTGTTCAGCACCAGGTTATTGTGGCTGCTCCAAAGGACCACCTGATCAACCACCCATCTGTAAGCAGACTCGTCACCGGATGAGATCAATGACGGTGGTGTCATCCGCGTACTTCAGGATTTTGACTGAGGGGTCCGTGGAGGTACAGTCATTTGCGTACAGTGAGAAGAGCAATGGTGAGAGTACACAACACTGTGGAGCACCTGTACTGATGATCTGGGTGTTTGAGGTGAACTTTCCCAACCTCACCTGCTGCTCTCTGCCAGTGAGGAAGTTGGTGATCCACTGGCAGGTGGCGGTTGGCACGCTGAGCTGGAGTAGTTTGTTGTGTAACTGTCCTGGGAGGATCATATTAAACGCTGAGCTGAAGTCCAAGAACAGAATTCTTGCATACGTTCCTGGGTGTTCAAGCTGATGGAGAATAAGCTGGAGTCCCATGTTCACTGCGTCGTCCACTGACCTGTTTGCTCGGTATGCAAACTGCAGGGGGTCCAGCAGAGGATCTGTGATGTTCTTCAGATGGGAGAGCACCAGTCTCTCAAAGGATTTCATGACTACAGAGGTCAAAGCAACGGGTCTATAGTCATTCAGTTCTGTGATGGTTGCTTTCTTGGGAACTGGAATTATGGTGGAGCGTTTGAAGCAGGAAGGTACGACACACAGCTCCAGTGATTTGTTAAAGAGCGCTGTAAACACTGGCGCGAACTGGTCGGCACAGACCCTCAGACAGGAGGGTGATACACCATCTGGTCCTGGTGCGTTCCTCACTTTTTGTCTCCTGAAGAGTTGGTGCACGTCTCTTGAATAAAAGTATGAATGAATAAAAGTATGAAAATTATATGTAATCAAAATGACTGATTTATTTTAATTTTTCATCTAACGTATATACAAAATTTTACCACAATGTTTCCCTTGTGAATTGCGCCACTGTTTGGCCACACTGGGTAATGCCATTTGTATGAGTATCCCTTTCAGTTCTAAAATGTTTTATTTTCTTTTAGTGTACTAGTGTATTAATGCATTAGTTATTAGTGTAACACGTGCAGTTTTATTATTTTACTCTTTAGTGTACTTTCACAATTTTACTATGTTATTGTTTATTATGTCTCTCAATCCTTCTGTCTTCTCTCCAGTTCAGAGCACTTCTGGTTCTAGTGCTCCCCCTGCTGGTTGGAAGCACCTCAGTTTCTCAGACAAACTGTGACATCTCCACTAATGCAACACTGAATGGTGTTTACACCATCTACCCTGCAGGTGACACACCTGTACAGGTGTACTGTGATGTGGGCTGTGATGGACAAGTAGAGTATAAGAAGTGGACGGTATGTTCAAACGTATCTCTACCCTAGAACTGCAGTATTGAGGTCAATTCCTTTTTACTGTCGATTAACAACATTAGTATTAAAGAAACAATGGATAGCATGCAGTTATATCTGTGCAAAAGACATTCAAATTGTGTAATCTGGTTTACCAAGTCACAGATAGAGACACTTGTTAAATATCAGTGGTGGACTGTAATAACAAGCCATTAATTACTGTGTTTAAGTACTTTTGCAATATCTGTACTTTTATAGAAATTAACTTCACTGCTTTCAGCAGGATACTGTGAAGTAAAATATAGATTAGTGATTATAGTATTTTTGCCTTGGTAAGCTTTGTGTTTTCCATGGCTTCCAGTTAATTTACAGCACAGAGAACCCATTCTAAAGTATTTGCATTCTTTTAGCTTAGCAAATTTACTTCAATTCTCAAGGACTCTATAGTTGAAGACCTGAGAGTGTGAACCTTACAGCTTCAGGAAGAGAGCCTTGGGGACACACATGTCGTATTGAGAAGGGTCCTGGAATCAACTGCAAGGCAGCCGGAGAGGTGAACTCCAAGGGCATCACATCGGACTGGCTCGTGTCAGCCTCTGGTGAGGAAGGTGGGCTCTGTAACGTAAGAACAGCTCAACCAAAGCAGATCTGGTCAGCCCTGTACACTCACTATGCACTTTGTGTAGGGCCCCACAAATTTTGCAAGGCCCCCCTCCCAATGTCAAAGCTGCTTTTTGTTTACAACTTAAATGAAAAGATGAAGCGGAACTATCCATCTTGTCACGGAAAACACCATACGAGTGAATTGCGGGAGCAGCAATATAAAAAGGTCAACTTGTGTTCTCTCCAAGTCTGATAACAGGAAATAATAAAAATGAGAGTAAAGTACAGCTATTTATTATGTTTCATGAACAGCAACGAGCAACAGTGTTTACAACTGCACCTCGGAAAAGATAACTGCGTCATGCATAACGTGTTCATTTACACGTGCACGAAATGAAACTCAACTGCAGCCCCCGTGGAGTCCACTCCAGTCCAGACAGGACTGGGCATGATGGTTCACTCCTCATAGAAGGCCATCATTTTAAAATAATGACTAATGCAGAATGGAAAGCAATGGATTGACACTGACTACTGATTAAATATTGAATATAAAGTGTTGATTAGCTGGACATACTGGGCAATATGGATGCACATCTCTCAGTAAATAATAACCATCAGGTAATCAGCCTTGCCAGAGTATAAGTAGTATTTATATTTGAAAATATCTGCAGAGCCAGTTTGAATGGGCCTGATGCAGCTGACAAAATTAATAACTATTATCTATAGTTTTTCAGGTGCTCTGTTTAAGTTGTCAGTAGATATGTTAATGTTAATGTTCACTTTTCTTCATGATTCTACAGAAAGTACTCTGTTCAATAAATATTGTCAGTTTGTACCTCATTCTGTTCTGTATAGGTTTACTTATTAGCAACAGTTGGACCAGACTGGTTTAAAGGAGGGAGGATTGTAGTGGGAGCACTGGGGTGTCAGGTGTGACTGTATGGCAATTGCAAATGGTTTAGAGGGCTCATGGGTCAGATAAGAGGGCCTCTTTGCAGAATTTTTCTTAAGGCCCCAGGGAGGTCAGGACCAGCTCTGGCAAGGGGGCTGCAGTTTTCATAGCCAAGCGACACAATCTTTATTGAACAGAGAAGAGTGGGCCACAACCTAACACATTTTGTCTTTTTGCAAACTCTTTTTTTGTGTTATTTGAGCTAGAGTAGTGCTTTTTTTACATGCAACATGCACATCTCTGTTAAAAGTGATAATATATGAACTTTGTTTCCAGTTTGGCTGAAAGCAGCACCAGTACAAAAGTTATAACTTAGCCCATAAATGGGGTAAAATGTATCGGACTGTTACAGCAGCGATCAGTGAGCTGTAACAGTTACTAGAAAAGTCATTTGCTCTCACATGCTTCCTAATTAGTATGATACAGTGGGGTCCAAAAGTCTGAGACCACATTAAAAATCAGTATTTTTTCCATTAAAGCCTGAAATAAACAACAGAAAGGTTTAGAATTGTGAAAAAGATTAAAATAAAGACAAAAAAATGACAAGTAAAATGAAGAAATGTTCACAAATCTGCACTATTCAAATTGAAGCAAATTTGTGACACTGGCCCTTAAGCCCTTTGTATGAAAAGGTTTAGATTTTTTAGTCTCATCTTTTCCACTAAAGCTGGTGTTTAGACGACTCTCAGGGGGATCTGATCAGAGACTTTCATCACTGTTAGGGGTCAGAGCCCATGCTAGCTCAAATACACACTGTCATTAAAGCAAAGGAGGACAAATGTTAAGAAATTCTAAAATTCATGTAAATATTTAAAACATTCTACTTTTCAAATTGTTATGCTGATAATATAATTTGTAATGAAAAACTTTTTTTATTAAACTTTAATAAAATAATAAAAGAATGCCAGCTGATAAAGTGCACAGTGAGTGTAGATACAAGGAGGTGTACTGAATGAAGTGACCAGTTGGTGTTTGTGCATATATTTTGCTGAAACTTTATGAAATCAGGTCATGTATCAGATTTTGCTGTATGTGGAGGCTGTACTTTATCCTGGTTTATTCTCACTGTTACTTTTATTGTGTTTAGGCTGAATCTGGAGAAACATCTGATTGCAACCTTTTTAACTATATAAAATATCTGGGTGACATTTTACTCTGTTAACTTTTGTTAAGAAGGGTTTTGGGAAACGTCTATGAATGAACATTCATAAAGATCTTCATAAAGATAAAAATCTGAGTTTTTTAATTAGATACTTTTATGTGGAATGCACCAATGTGACCCCGCCCTAACTGTGATAAAACTGGTTTTACTAGCTAAGTCTGAGTTTTATTTTATATTTTGTTCATCTTTAATTATACATTTATTTTAAGTCGCATTTTATATTCAAATGTTTGTTTTATGCCATCAAGATATTTTCATATTGTGACTGACAAAAATATTTAATACAAATAGTTAATTATATTAGGTATTTCATGTACTGTATCCTTCTTTTAAATGTAAACAAAACATTCACTATGAAAACAATCTGACACAAAAAAATTCATTCTCTTCAATTTAACAATTTCAATTTCAACACTTTAAACTCTTCAAGATAAACTACAGAAGTATAGTTGTTAGCGTAATTGTTTGTGGTCAGCAGAAGTATCTCGGAAATTCCAACCAAAATGACATCATTTTCATGAACTGGACTTTTTGTGTGTGAACATTATATTCTAATAAGTGGCACTGCCTAGTGTAATAACCGAATACTGTTGTTATAATGAGTCAGTTTATCTACATAATAAGTCCTTCAGTCCTGTTCCTGTCCCTGTGCTTCATTGTCCAAACATTTGTTGTTGCAGTGTTGCAATCACAGAGCGGATATTTTACAAGAGTTCACAAAAGTTCTCTGTTTCTGGTAAACGTCCAAGAGCACAAGGGTCATTCTACAGACCATTCAATGTTTTGACCTGAGTTAATACCAGAGAAATGCTTTATATTCTGATCTGGCGACATAGATTATTTATGATCAGGTGAACGTTATCAAATAAATCTATGTACGAAGATTTATGAGGTCATTTACGAGTTACAGGAATTTCCTCAAGCAATGTCCAGGCTGACTTACATGTGCTGTAATCAGGAGGGGGTTGAGGGTCCAGCAGGGTTTAAAAGCATGTGAGTATGAAGACTTAACACTGGATAGGAGAAAACTCACAGGTAAGCTACATTTTATATCTTAAATTGACCCTTTTCTGCTGTTCTGTGTGATTCTAAAGGTGGCTTTAGGTGGCTTTATAACACTGAGGTAATAATGCCACAAACATGTCATAGCAGATAGTCTAATGCTGTCATGAGAGATTTTATTCAGTAATATAACAGTGTCATGTTATCATTACCAGTAATTGTGATGACAGATGTCATAATGTTTGATACACTCAATACAAAATTAGCACACAAGCTGTGACAACAATATGTTATCTATTATGACAATTACGAGAAATATTATATTGGTAACACTTTACTGGTAGTGTGTATACATAACGCATGAATAACATCTTTCATAAACACTTCATAATATGTCCATGAATGTTTAAATCAATATTCATAAATCATTCATGTTTTACATGATATTAACATCGACCACTATTTCATTTTTACTGACAGGCATTTTTCACAATAAAAGTCCTCATTTTATATTTTGAAAAATGATATTGTTTTCAGTGAAAAGCCTCATTTCTGGACAAAATAAAAATGACCTTTTACTCCCTTAGTCATTAAGTGCTTTGACACTTTTGCCACATTTTGCCTATACTTTCAACGTTTCTTCTTAAGCTTTTATGTTTTGCACTTTATTATCCTTTATTCCTTTTACTCTGTGTCTTCTTTAAAATTTGATTGTGCTGAAGGGTTAATTCAACAGTCTTTACCAGGGGTGCAGGCTTTCATCCCAAACAAGAAGAGCACATCTAATTCCACTCATTTAATCAGTCAGTCTTTAAAAACTGATCATGTGTGCTTCTGCTTTGTTGCAATGAAAACCTGCAGCCACACCAGCCCTTTGCGGATAAGATTGGACACCCCTGGTCTATATAAAAAGTTACACATGTTGACTTCATGTCAGATGGATGTTCAAGTTTGCATAAAATTATACTTCAGTTTGATGTCTGTCCAGGTGCAGACCTGACCTTGCTGTAGGTTTTTTATTGTTGGAACAGGCTTTGAAAAAATGACAGTAAGTCATACTCTAATCTTGCTTATCACTGTTGGAAGAAAACCTTGTATCTCCAAAATGGTAACTTTACAGGAGAAGGAAAAAACATACTTTACTTTTAATGTTAGTCAATGGAAACAGATTTTTTTCCAAGCAATTTTGGGCCGTCTCTTTTGGTCCATTCATCATGAAATTTACAAACAATGTAAAGGACCACAGGTACTTTCGAATTATGTCAAAATCTGAAAAAACATCAAAAATGGAGATACAAAGTTTTCTTCCGACAGCGATATGCTATAATTCTAATCTGTATTTTGTGAACTAGGATTGAGTTTTAGTTTTAGTTATGCTTGTTAACCACTAATATTTCTGATACATGATACAGAAATATCTATAAGAGAAAAGTCTCTAATAAGTACTGAACAGCAGGTAGTTTAGTTTTAATTTTACTTTGTTTTTTTTGGAGTGAATAACATTTTAGTGTTTGTTGTTCTTGTGCAGTTTTGTCATTTTACTGTTTATTGTACTTGTTCAGTTTATTGTGTTTTTGTTTAATGTCTGCCACTCTTCCCTCCAGCTCAGAGTGTTTCTGGCTCTAGTGCTCCCCCTGCTGGTAGGAAGCACCCCTGTTTCTCAGGAACTGTTCCCGACAGACTGCTCTGATGTCTACACTAACGGACAAACACTGAGTGGAGTTTACAACATCCACCCTGCAGGTGACACACCTGTACAGGTGTACTGTGACATGAGCTGTAATGGACAGACAGAGGATGCAAAGTGGACGGTATGTTAGACTGTATCTCTTTAATAGATTAACTACAGAATTGAGGTCAATCCACATCTGAAACAATCTGTAGGAAATATTCATTATTACTGACTATTAGCAACATCAGTATTAATGAAGTAGTGAATGGCATGAGGTTATATCCATGAAAAAGTCCAAAATGTGTCTTTTGAATAATTTAAATGTCACCCATAAAGAGACGCTTATTAAATGTCCATGGTGGACAGTATCAAAGCACAAGTAATTAAGTACTTTTTGGAATATCTGTAATTTTATCAGATACTTTTTGAGACTATTTTCCATTTTTTGAGACTTTTACCAAGAGCCGATAGCCAGGAGTTTAGACACAAGAGGAGAAATATGGAAAAAGTAATTAAATAATCATTAATATATATTAATTAACTATTACTAAGTATTAGTTACTGATTAAGTACTTAGTAAGTAGTAATTGAGTATACTGTTAACTGATAATTTAGTCTGTCCTTAATTCACAGCTTTATTACTGATTAACTGTGTACTGAGAGCTGATTTTTGTACTGCTGATGAACTGATAACTGTGTTTACTCATGTTATTACGCAGTTAATGAGTAATTAAGCTGTGAACTAAGATTGAACTAAACTACCAGTTAGCCGTGTACTTTACATTACTAATCACTGAGTACCCAATGAGTAACTAATACTTTATGAGTAGTCAATTAATGTATATGTGACTAATTACTAATTAGCATATAATTATTAATGAATTTGTGACCCTTAATGTAAGGTGTTGCCTTTACTTTTAATATGTATGTATACTTAAAAGCAAGTAATTTTGAACTTAAAGTCAAGTAGAAATATAAATAGTGCACTTACATTTTTGCTTGAGTAAAATTTTACTACTATCTTTTCACTGCTTTCACTGTGAAAAATGCCCACCTTCTACATTTTGTTTAGATTCAAATTTAGATTTATTTTAGTCTGAGGAAGTTCTGTGAGAAGTGTTTACAGCGTATGATTTATGTCTTTATTCCACTAAATAAGTGAATGTTATCTTTACACCAGGTGATTCAGAGGAGAATGGACGGCAGTGTGAACTTCTACAGACCATGGGAGCAGTACAAGAAAGGATTTGGGAACAAATATGGAGAATACTGGCTGGGTGAGAATTCATTACCTATCACAAATACAGTGTAGAGACCAGTTTTATCACAAATTGAAACTGAAAGAATGAATTCTAGGAAGAAATGTAAAAAAGCAAAAAGTCAATGTTGGTCATCGGACTTTGTAAGTGTGAAAAAATTCACTTCAAGAGTGAAATGAAGTCAAAACACAAAATCTTGTGCTATGGTGACACCATGTGGCAACATTGGGTATTGTTATTTGTCTAAGTATTGCTCACAAAATGAATTCAAGTGTTTTTAAAACTTACAGCTTATAGGCTAAAGTTTTAAGCTGGCTAAATAATAATAAACCTTCTTCATATCAGACAAGATGTGAATATTATCTCTTATGTAAAGTTGTCACACTTTTGGTCCTGATTCTTCATAAATAACCTTCAGCTTTATACTGTGCACCTCACTTCCAAGAGGAAGTATGAGCTGAGAGTGGACCTGCAGGACTTTGAGGGAAGGAAGGTTTACGCTCAGTACTCTACTTTCTCTGTGGAATCTGAAACTGATGGCTACAAACTGCATGTTGATGGATTCATCAATGGAGGAGCAGGTGAGATATCACTGAGGGAATCAGTGGTGATGGATGCAGACAAGGCCAATGTCACAGTCTTCCCTTGCCAGTTTAAATTTTATGAGGAATATCCCATTTAGAGCCTTTACATAGTGGATTACACTCGCTGAGCACTGCAGTGACACTGACTTGGTGGTGGTGTGTTAGTGTGTGTTGTGCTGGTATGAGTTTTAAACACTGCGTCCACTCACTGTCCACTCTATTAGACACTCCTACCTTGTCAGTCCACCATGTAGATGTAAAGTCAGAGACAATAGCACATCTGCTGCTGCACAGTATGTGTTGGTCATCCTCTATTCCAAGGGTGTCCAATTTTATCTGCAAAGGGCCACTGTGGTTGCAAGTTTTGATTCCAAACAAGCAGGAGCACAGCTGATTCCAGTAGTTTAATCAATGACTCAGCCGTCAAACAAATGATCATGTGATCTCCTGTTTTGTTGGAATGAAAACCTGCAGCCACAGCAGCCCTTTGCGGATACGATTGGACACCCCTGCTCTAGTCCTTCATCAGTGGTCACAGGACGCTCTTGGCTGGATATTTTTGGTTGGTGGACTATTCTCAGTCCAGCAGTGACACTGAGGTGTTTAAAAACTCCAGCAGCACTGCTGCGTCTGATCCACTCAGACCAGCGTAACACACACTAACACACAACCACCACGTCAGTGTTATTGCAGTGCTGAGAAGGACCAACCACCCAAATAATACATGCTGTGTGAGGGTCCATGGGGGTCCTGACAATTTATGGACCGGGTAAAGTTGGGACAACAAAGTATGCAGAGAAACAGATGGACTACAGTCTGTAATTGTAGAACTACAAAGTGCACCTATATAGTAAGTGAAGCTGATAAAATGGACAGTGAATGTAAAAGCAAAGTAGGTGTACCTAATAAAGTGCTCATTTAGGGCATATAGACAGTAAAAGGACATTTTAGGCTGTACAAATGTACTAGTTGGTGAATAACCAGTAGAATATGTGGTAATATTCTGCCTTTACACAACATTTAATTGCACCACAATAATAGGGGCTTTCAGGTGGCCTTTAAATGGACCTTTTTCTTGGTACAAAAGCAAACAGGAGAGGCCAGTAAGACAGTATGAGCTCTGAAAAATGGCTGCAGGTCTACTGTCTGGAGCACCACTAGTTGTTCTTCTGTTCACATCAACGATACTATAGTTTTACAAGCCAGAGTTTTGCTCAGTTCTGCATACTCAGTTTGTTTGTTCCCACTGAGCTGATAAAACCGCTGGAAGACTGTACACATGGCTGTCTGGCTAGCCAGTGAAAATACCTTTAACAACATTTTGAAGGCTATGGTCATCTTAGTTTTAGAATACAATAAATGTCAGTCTGAAAGGAGCATGATAGTGTTAATGCAAAAACAAAGATTGAAATAAAAAGCCATTTTAACAATATTTGTATTATGTGTGTTATAAAGTCATTGTTTACTGTGATTTGTGATGTCTGAAGGTGGAAAGTGTGTCTGTAGTCACAGATCCTTCTGTCTGCAGGTGACTCACTGGCACTATCAAATGGACAGAAGTTCTCCACCTTTGACAAAGACCAGGACACTTGGAGTGGTAACTGTGCTAAATCCTTCCTCGGAGCATTTTGGTACAATGCTTGCCATCATGCTAACCCCAACGGTATCTATCTGTGGGGAAAGGATGGCACCCTTTTTGCTATTGGAAATGTGTGGTATCACTGGAAAGGCATTGATTATGGTCTCAAGTCCATCAGTATGAAGATCAGGCCTGTGCCTTAGATGGGTATACTTTGTTTTATTTTGTTTTTTTGTTTTTTTCTATTTAGCATGTAATATTTGCAGGTAGACACATAGTTATAATAATATTTTTACTGAATGTTGAAGGACAATGTTGAAATCTGTGTAAATATTTTTAGTACCTCAATTTTAATAAATGTTATTGTTGTACAGGATATAATTACTTGTTGCATTATTCCTTATTACCTTATTTTTCATCAAATTCCTTAATCAAACCAGTAAACATTCATTCATCTGAAATGTGGATATTATGAATGCAATTAAAAATAGCAAATAAGTAATTAACTAATTTGTTTATCTACATCTGCTCGAGATTTTCAAGAATAATGCAGCTCAACAGCAAGATAATTTGATATACAAATTCATTGTAATTCACACCTGAATATCTCCTTTTTTTCATGTTGTTCAGACAACTGTCAAGAACTCATTTCATTCTGCCTGTATCTCAGAACCTGTATTTCACAAAATATTTTTGGTTAAGAGACCATTGCTCCATGTGCCAAGAGCCAGTTGCCACCGCAGGGGTCCATGCCACCAAGGGCCTCCCTGCCATCTCCCACCACCTATACGACACTGCGCTGGTCTTCCATGCTGGATCTTGTAGGCCCACATGATCCCTCCACATTGCCATTTCAGGCTGAGCCAGGCTGGGTTACGTGGGCTGCCTGGCTCACAAGGAGACAGATAAACAGCTCACTGAGGAACACTACTCCCAGGCCTGGCTCCAGGGATAAGTCCCAGTAACCCTCTCCCAGGCAGGGTACACGGTCACTTGTGTCCCTTAGTCATGGATGATTTTGGACCTGTCCCGGGTGGAGGAGTTTACGTATTTTGGAGTCTTGATCAAGAGTGATGGGAAGAGGGATTGTGAGATCGGCATCAGGCTGGGTCAGGCGGAAGCGGTAATGTGGTCACTGTACCGGACTGTAGTGGTGAAGAGGGAGCTGAGCCATAAGGCAAAGCTCTTTGTTTACCAGTCAGTCTACATCCCAACCCTCACCTGTGGTCATGCGCTTTGGGTAATGATCGAAATAATGAGGTTGTGGATACAAGTGGTGGAAATGAGCTTTCTTCGTGGTGCTACACTCGATAGGGTGAGGAGCTCTGTCACCTGGGAGGTGCTCAGAGTAGAGCCACTACTCCTCCAAATTGAAAGGAGCCAGTTGAGGTGGTCCGGGCATCTGATCAGGATGCCCCCTGGCTGCCTAATGATGGGTGTTTACCTGGCACAGCCTACTGGGACAAGAGCCCAAGGTCGTCCTAGGACATGCTGGAGGGATTATATCTCCAAGTTGGCCTGGAACTGGCTGTGGGTCCCCCGGCATGAGCTGGGAGAAGTTGCAGGGGACAGACACCTAAAATGAAACTGAGCTTTGTTTTCCTGGGGCCTTCAGGCTTTCTAATGATAACATAGGTGTGCTTTGAGGTGGAAATGGCTTAGAACCCCTGATTTACATGAAATCTATGATAAGCTTTCAATGAAACTGTGCATAAAACCTTTGAAAAAAGAACCCATTATGAAAGTATATAGTTCTCTAATTGTTCACTTTGGGAGACTAACCCTGCAATGTAGAGGCTGTACTTTAGGCTAGCTCTCACTGTGAGCTGCTTGTCTGCTTGTAAACGGTGCCACTAAGTTGGAGATAAAAAATACATGAGTGAATTCTGTCAATTTTGTAATCAAAAACAAATAATGAAAAATGTACTTATATTTGCCCTGCGATGGACTGGTGACCTGTCCAGGGTGTATCCTGCCTTACACCCAATGACTGCTGGGATAGGCTCCAGCTCCCCCCACAATCCAGAAGGAGAAGCGGCTTAGGAAATGTGTGTGTGTGTGTGTGTGTGTGTGAGTACTTATGTTTCATTCATCATGGTAAATCTGGAGAAATATCTGTCTGATTGCTTTGTAAATTCAATGATGGTGTTGCTATGGGAATATACAAGCATGATCTGCTTGAACCTGTTTAATTTATTCAATATCTGTAAAGTTTTGCCCTGCGCTTAATTAAGAAGGGTTAGTAGTATATATCCTACACTGTTTTTCAAAGTATGATTTATGACCCTGATTTATGGCTCTGATTTATGGCTCTGATTTATGACTCTGATTTACGAACCATATGATTTGTGGTTCTGTGATGGACAGATTTTAACAAGGGGGCCCTCTCCCCACATTACCCACCCCACCCTTCACCACACCTCACCCCAAAGATTTACGACACCCCCCTCTCTGTGACAGGTCAGTTTGAGGGACAGGTCTGCCTGGGGTTGGGTGTTTTACGACACCCTCCTAACCCCACCCCCTCTACCACCAACATTTGTGTTGGGGGAGCAGGGTGTGGCTTACATATGTTGTATTTAAGCATTATTCTCACAGGCGGATTGCATGACTATTGCTGCAAAATGTCTTCTGCAAGTTTAAATCAAACCGTTCTTAGCGTTTCTACAGCAACGCCGACTGTTAGTTCTTGTGGTAGTGAAACCAATTTGGAGTTTGCGCCGAGGAAGAGCCGGTATCGCGATGCATTTCGTTGCCGGTCTCGCAAGCGATTCGGGGATGTTAAGATTAACCTCTTTGATTCTCTGGCTTATGACGTTTGTGGGGATGGTCAAACAGAATCACCGCCCTCCGCAATGTCTGTTTAAAGGGTCCCCCCATCCATATTGAGGCATACAGCTTCAGTTTCTCAGCACTCAAGCCAACATGTTCGAGGATTTTCATCCATCAGGCCACCCCGACAACCACGGGCCTCTGTGGTATAGAAATTATCAAGGGCCGGACGTTGATTACGCACCGCTCAACACTGCCAGCGGTCCTGTAAACTACAGCCATGACGAACCAGCAGCGGCCATCGTGACATCAGACCACAGCATCTCGGGCCATTTCAACAACGATACCAACACAGATGGTGATACAACGTGCGGCGGCAATCAGCCAACACTATCCAACACATCAGACAACAACAACTGGTTAGACCATTTGTGTGAAGATTTTGCACATGCAAATATGACTTTCCTGCATACACCGTTTTTTTCACCGGTGCCAGCATGCATGGAAGATGATGAAACACTCGTCGAAGCTCCAGAATGCAGGTCTATACCCACACCAACCGAAGATGTGGATGGTCGAGTATGTGCTACAGGATTAAAACTTAATATGAACTAAAAAATAATTAAATTATTTTTAAACTTAATCCTACCAAACCACGGCTAAAAACATTGTAAGCAATATAGTCAGCAACGGTTTGACACACGCAATGCGAAACAACCAGGACGGATCAGGCATGCTAGTAATGGCACGAAAATCTGTGAAACGACCCCCTGGAAAGAGGCGTGGTCGCCCTGCTAAGAAAACCAAGCGTGAGTTGAAAAAACGCATAGATTCAAAAAGGAAGAGAAAGGGGAAACAGACCAAACGAACACCCCGAAGAAAAGCTGTCAGTACTATTTTCTGAACATGGCTCTACTTCATCGCATGTCTGAAGAATGTATCAAGTCGGAACTAGACTTGTTCACAGTGCCTTTAACACAAACATCTATCGAGAAAAACACTTATGTAGAAATTCCACCGCTTTCAGCAATATCGGACACAGCCCCTTTGGAATGTCTATGTAGATGGGCAACAGTATCCTGCTAAACCACATCAACTCGATTTCCAGTCTGGTTCTGCTGTGCGTGAATTTTATCAGTTGGCTTTAGCATCTGGACATCTGAAAAACCAGGCGTTGTCTTTTGACAGAACGGATTTCGAATGTCGAAGTTGACTGGGGTGGTCCACTTCACAACCAAGACATGTTTCCTTCAGTTTGTTGTTTATGATACGTTGTAAGATTACAACGACAGCAGACTTTATAAGTTTTAATCCTGTAGCACATACTCGACCATCCACATCTTCGGTTGGTGTGGGTATAGACCTGCATTCTGGAGCTTCGATGAGTGTTTCATCATCTTCCATGCATGCTGGCACCGGTGAAAAAAATGGTGTATGCAGGAAAGTCATATTTGCACGTGCAAAATCTTCACACAAATGGTCTAACCAGTTGTTGTTGTCTGATGTGTTGGATAGTGTTGGCTGATTGCCGCCGCACGTTGTATCACCATCTGTGTTGGTATCATTGTTGAAATGGCCCGAGATGCTGTGGTCTGATGTCACGATGGCCGCTGCTGGTTCGTCATGGCTGTAGTTTACAGGACCGCTGGCAGTGTTGAGCGGTGCGTAATCAACGTCCGGCCCTTGATAATTTCTATACCACAGAGGCCCGTGGTTGTCGGGGTGGCCTGATGGATGAAAATCCTCAAACATGTTGGCTTGAGTGCTGAGAAACTGAAGCTGTATGCCTCAATATGGATGGGGGGACCCTTTAAACAGACATTGCGGAGGGCGGTGATTCTGTTTGACCATCCCCACAAACGTCATAAGCCAGAGAATCAAAGAGGTTAATCTTAACATCCCCGAATCGCTTGCGAGACCGGCAACGAAATGCATCGCGATACCGGCTCTTCCTCGGCGCAAACTCCAAATTGGTTTCACTACCACAAGAACTAACAGTCGGCGTTGCTGTAGAAACGCTAAGAACGGTTTGATTTAAACTTGCGGAAAACATTTTGCAGCAATAGTCATGCAATCCGCCTGTGAGAATAATGCTTAAATACAACATATGTAAGCCACACCCTGCTCCCCAACACAAATGTTGGTGGTAGAGGGGGTGGGGTTAGGAGGGTGTCGTAAAACACCCAACCCCAGGCAGACCTGTCCCTCAAACTGACCTGTCACAGAGAGGGGGGTGTCATAAATCGGGCTGTCGCACAGGAGGTCGTAAATCTTTGGGGTGAGGTGTGGTGAAGGGTGGGGTGGGTAATGTGGGGAGAGGGCCCCCTTGTTAAAATGTCTGTTCAATCTGTCCATCACAGAACCACAAATCATATGGTTCGTAAATCAGAGTCATAAATCAGAGCCATAAATCAGGGTCATAAATCATACTTTGAAAAACAGTGTAGGATATTTACTACTAGAGTTTAACATTCTCAGTATCTTAATTAATGAAGTACTTATGCTGCATTTGACTGAAACACGCAACTCTTCAGTATATCAACTCTAACTAACTGAACAAAAAACAAAAAATGCTCCC